TCTATCTTTCATTAAATGGTGTGAGGAAAATGATAATGTATCTGAAATCTGGACTCATATTGATGATTGTGTCAATGCACATACAGAGGGTGGTGAGGCGATGAAAACCTCCAGAAAAGAATTTGAGAAAGGGATTACAGATAAACTGCTTCCACAACTGAATGAATACAGAGAATGGGGCTGCAACCAATCACCAACATTTACTTTTTGGACAATGTTCCTAGAAGCTTGTGAAACCTTTCTTGAAAACCTAAGAGCGGAAAGAGGTGGCGATTGGGATATGCATCTTACAAGTGTGGCTAAGATGTTACCATACTTTTTTGGAGCAAACAAAACAAATTATGCCAGGTGGTCTCCAGTCTACATCCTTGATATGATGAACCTACCAGAAGCTGTTCAAAGTGCATTTGAAGAAGGAAAATTTTCCATCCGCAAAACAAGTCATGGTTTTAGTGGAATTTGGTCAGATATGGGGACAGAAACCACTGTAATTAAAGATGCAAAGGGAGATGGGGGCAGAGTTGGTCTCACAAGCAAACCACAAACAATGATCAGATGGAGCCTAACTAGGCATATATTCAGCAGGATATCTACTTTTAAAGATAGATGCAGTGAATCTTCGAATGAGCACATGCCTCATCCACAAGAGTGCCATTCTAATTTGATACGTGACGAAAATGATGTCAAGCTCATCCAAGATCATATAAAGAACAGAATGACTAATCCATTTGATGTACATAGTCATCCTAATGTTCTCCTAAACATATCAACGGGTGTTCATGCAAGTGAAGATGTACAACGTTCACTCTTATCTGTTGTCAATTCTGGTTCGATGAAAATGTATCAGTTTGTATCCTCAGCTCTTGAGGAACAATCAACCAATTTCTACCAGACGATAAAACAAAACAAACTTGTAACATTCTGTGACATACACCCAAAGTCCAAGGTTAAAACAAGGACAGAGACTGTGGCTGTTGCAATAGGTGCTGAAACCATCTTCCAAAGAGCATTAACAATTTGCAGCAAAAGACCTCATGTCAACATAGATACTATGCTAGAACATCCAATTACCATAATCCCTCCTGCAATATTCCATGATGATGGAAGCATGAGGAAGAATGTCAAGTCAGACCTTGTCAAGGTTTTGCAACTCAATCAAACGACTATTTTCCCTTCCTCTGATCCAGATAACACATCATATATAATAGATGGAATGTGTGTTATACAGGCCATACTGGGAGACAAATTCAACAACTTTTACCAAATTGGACAACACTTCCTTAATTAAATCATATGCTGGCTCAGACTAGCTAGCACTGTGAAACTGGTGTTTGATAGGTATGATAAGGCTGACTCTCCAAAGGCAGAAGAGAGAAAAAGGAGAAAAATGGCTGTGCATGAAAAGATATATCAGGTTAAATCAGAGAGAATGGTACCAGACTGGAGAAAATTTCTAAATGTTGATGACAACAAGGCCTGTATTGTGGACTTCATCACAAAATATGTTATGACCACTATTCAAAAGTATTTGATTGGGTCACAAAAACTTTACATAGCAGGAGGACTCAAAGAAGAAGGTGAAACATGTGTGATGATTTCGAAACAACAGAAAACGAGTATTGATGCTCTAGCATCCTCACACGAGGAAGCTGATACACGAGTAATATTTCACCTCATGAAACTCAACGAAGAGGCAGACCCAGGAAACCATGAAGTAGTCATTAAATCTCTAGATACTGATGTTCTTGTTCTTGCAGTTTACTATTTCAAAAAAATGATCAACACACAAAAGATATGGATTGAAACTGGGAAAGCCACTGGGACAACCAACAACCATAGATTTATTCCTATTCACTGCATTGTTGACCAAAGGGGGCACATGTTCTGTAGTCTACTACCAATGTTGCATGCCATGTCTGGATGTGACTTTACATCATCTTTCTATGGTCATGGCAAAAAGGCTTTTGTAAAGACTATTGAAAAGGTAGGATGTGATGGCTTCGATGGGATGAAGACTCTTGAAATGGATAGCTTCATTGATGATGCAAGAAGAATAGTGGGGAATATGTATGATCCCAAACAACACGTCACGATCTATTAAAACTAGGCAATCTAGGAAAATTACGCGCTCACTTATTGAAAACCTCAGTAAAATACAAATCCCTACTCAAATTACCACCAAGTGAACCTGCATTTCGTCAACATGCACTGAGAGCCTTGTGGCAGAGTTTGCAATGGACACAATCACACAAATCATATCCTGAACTTCCAGAAAGAATAGGACATGGGTGGTCATTGGTGGCAGGGGATATTGTAACTACAAAGTTTGAAGGCCCCTCAGCTTCAGAAGTCATTGAAGGATTTCTTTGCTCTTGCAAAGGTAAGGCCATATGCCTTAAAAATTGTGAATGTGCATCTAGTGGATGCACAATTCTATGCCCATGCCTCGGAGATGCAGCTCTTTGTAAAAATGTATATTCTTAAATTCAGAGGTGAGATATTTATTTGGACACTGGTCAAATACTGGGTGCCTTCAAGATCTGTCTATTATAGAAAATCTGCTCATTCTCCGCAAATTTCCGTGCCAAATTCGATGCCAATGCCCGAAGACATAACTACTACCACCTTCACCTATGAAATCAGTGCCAATACCTGAAGTCATGACTACCACTATCTTTACCCATGAATTCAGTGCCAATGCCTGGAGAGATAACGAACACCATCTTTACTTATGAATTCAGTGCCAATGCCTGAAGACATAACTGCCACCAGCTTTACCTATGAATTCAGTGCCAATGCCTGAAGACATAACTGCCAACATCTTAACATATGAATTCAGTGCCAATGCCTGAAGTCATGACTTCCACCATCTCTACCTATGAATTCAGTGCCAATGCCTGAAGACATAACTACTACCATCTTTACCTACAAATTCAGTGCCAATGCCTGAATACGTAACTGCCATCATTTTTACTTAGCCTGAACACATAACCACACATAACTGAAGACATGACTGCCAAGTGGATGTATAACAAAACATTATAGTGAAAGAAGAAGCAAAAATTCAGAAATATAATTGTTCAAAGGATGATATAATTCTAGAATAATAAAACCTGATCTGGAAAACAATTTTAAATGACTTGAAAAAATTGAATTGTTTGAAATTGGCCTGAACAATGATATAAGAGATAATAAATGATCAGATATACTAGATAACAGGAACAATCTTTTTGTTATTTAATGTGGTTGCCATGGTAACCGATATATCACTAACACACATTTCTGCATTAGTTATCATTAAATACATATAGGTTAAACTGGTAGCTTTCATTTGGCACAGTATTTATTAAAATGTTATAATAAGAGTTAGATTGTGAAACTTCATTTCAAGTTCCCTGTTTCATTATAAAGGTACATTTATCAGCACTAAAATTTTCAAATAAACAACTTCAATACACTACATTTATACTTATACTTATTTATACTTATTATGCCTCATATTTTATATCATAATGGAGCTATGATGTTAAATATTTATACTTTAATAAGATATCCTAAGTTATCCTCAATGATTCAATGAAACAATAGTTTGTATTGTTTAAAGTATTAAAAAAAACATATATTATTGAACAAAAAATTGGATTATGACGTCACAGTTGATATGCAAATGAGCTAATTTGCATAATTTTTAACCAATCATTATCTTTGTTCCTTAAGCTTTCATTTGGCGTTAATATCATCAAAATCGGATAAAAAATGACAAAGATATATTTAATATTAGAAATAGTCCTCATTAGCAGTGGTAAAATTAAGTTGCCATGGAAACGGGCGTCTTAAACATCATTGTCCCTCACTATGATTTAAAATATATCTTTTTTCACTGAAAGCATATATAAACGAAGAGATTAAGGTATGACGCGTCCTTATATACTCTGAACTATTAATCTCCTCAAATTCTCATTTTCACTCCTCGTCTATTAGTCATTGAATGAAAACTTAGGAAAAAAGAATATATTTCATATGTTTGTGTAAATATGTACAGGATATTTTTTACAAGTGCACTCCTAAATAACTTTAAAGCACATTAAATATACGTTTTATATGGTGTATGATGTATCCATGGGAGGGAAAACATAACGTTTTTAGCTCCGTGTACTTCAGTATCCGTAAAATAATATATATTTCGCATATTACTTATAGCATGTTTATTATTCCAGTAACCTGGTAACGTATCACTTATGAAGCGTTTGACTACTGGGTCACCATTTATTGCGCAGCTCTATACGTAATATTCTTTTGATCGACGTCTATACGTAAGAATAGGGAGTTTAAGCTTGCAATGTTTTTCACAACCTAAATGTGAACTGAAAATATTCAAGCGATGCATTTGAATGGGGGATTGGCCATACGTATAGGTTGGCGCTTCGATTTTATATGCAAGCTTAAACTCCCTAAAATTACACTATGGACGCAAAGAGCTGCGTAATGGAATAATGAACATGCTATTAGTGAGTTCCGAAACCATTCTATTGTTTAGTATATCAAACCGTTATGGATACTTGAGGTTTAAAACATTATGCAAACCTTTACGATGTACTCTCAGTTTAACATGTTCCTTGATTTGCAAGCATATATATTGAATAATTAGCGCCGTGGCCTCTTAACTGAATCAATTTGTAAATTGTTTCTGAAATTGACTTAACTATCTTCGTCGCTAAATGTCTAGCAATACTATAAGAGTTAATAAGAACACAGTGGAGGAACTCTTCAAACTCGTTCTCATAACTTGTTGAAGAGTTCCACCGCAATGTTAGGAGGAACCTTGCTTATCTTTAAGGCACTTGAGAAGAGCTGTATTGTGAGAATGTCTTCGGATGTCATTGGGAATATCCATACATGTTTCCCAGAACTGTTCTGTTAGGATGAGCAAAAAATTGATTTCATAGAAAAAAATACATGGAAAAGACCAACGTATGAATGTCAATTATTTCAATATTTCTTTATCCCTTCCTTCCACAAGGTTTTGTCTTTGTTGTGCGTTTGCAACCTTCCCCGCTCAACACATCTCTTGTCTTGGTAAGTTTGCCGTCCAAACACTCTCCACGTGTCCATGGCCCATAAGTACAATTGTCTAAAAATACAAAACATCACGATAGAGTTAGCTATACATTGGTTCCTTTAATAACATTCTATACCAAGACCCCTACATTAATTTGAGCTGAATGTACAATGATCCGACATACTTCTTGGTGTGTTCTATAGTATCAAAGGGTAATAAGATCTCTGCACAAAGAGGAAACTGCATTGTACTTTCCAAAAATGGCATTTTTGTTTGTGTGAATATGAGTAGTTTTGATTGTACTATAAGAAAAACATCTCGAACATACGCTCATATTATTTAAAAGTTAGGAAATATTTAGCAGAAAATCTACGAAAACCTTTCTTCTGACAAATACCTTTGCACGGTTTAGTTTGAGTTTTACTTGCTTCGCATTCAGTTTCATTACCGCGCTTTAGAGTAAGTGTTCTGGTGCGTTCGGTGGCATCTCCAGCGCATGACGACCACGCGCCCTTCTGGTACTTGCAAGCTTAAAGTTAATTAAAACAGGAAAAGTTTAATGTGCACGAATACTATTATGATTTACGAGTTTGCTTTCAAGTGCATTTTCATGAATACAATTCTTATTTAAATAATGAAATAAGAAATATAGACCCAACGAAATGTGTATTTACCTTTAGCTTGTCTTGCTGACCTTCTGCATCTTTTAGTGACAACCTTGGTCGGCTCACAGGTGTCATCCCCTTTCTTCAAGGTGAGCGTTCTGGACATTGTGTTTGTCTCTGGATTGCAGTCTCCCCATGCGGGTTTCATGTACTTACATGCTTGAATATGAGTAATTAGCTAGTTCAATAACAATGTACTAGTGTAGTATTAATAGTTTAACAAAAATATAATGTCACGATTTTTCACTTTACTTTAAGTATAGCAATGTGTCGGTTTTGACGATCATACATTAATACATACTTTTGCAGCACTTTGTGTCTTGATAAAGTTAACGTTAATCACTTACGTTTACCCCCACGTCCCTTCCCTCGGCCCCTTTTCCTGCCACCTTCACCGGGCACGATACACCTGTTAATCGTCATTGTCTTTGTAGCTGCGCATGTGTCTGGACCTTTCTTTAATTGTAGCGTACATGTGGTGGTGTTGGTTACAGTATCACATTCACCACACTCTTTTGTTTTTCTGTTGTATTTACAAACATTTCCACGACCTGTTGAACAAAAAAGTACGTGTTTTGAAGTTGGTGTAAAAATACCTAATCATACAAAGATGGCATTGCAATCATATTGAAAGTGAAAGTATGAGAGTCGCTTACACTCCCCACCATAAGTTTGGCAACCTTAGCTTCCCCATTGAACTGCGTGTTAAAGCCTCGTAGGAGCTAAGGTTGCCAAACTTATGGAGGAGAGTGTATAACAGGATAATGAACGTGTCGTGTACTTATGACAGTAAGCTTAGAGTTTGCTTTTTTTCGCTAGGTTTCTTTAGAGATTTTTGGTCCCTTCCTTTGGCACTTGTGCTAAGATATTGATATTCATCTCAGTTTAAAGCATTTCCATGAAAATGGTTCTACCATTTATCGGAGACTCGATTATGACAGAATATCCTGGTCTCGCCAGATTAGTGTTGCACGCATTGGAGTAATCTTGTCTGGCCGGAATAGCTTGGCTTTAACAAATACGATAACACCAAATGTTACGATTCGTTCAAGGCAAAGATAAGCAACTGTGACATTATTGTTATCATTTATTAATAGATTACTTATAACCTGTAAATAAGAAGACATGCTGAAAATGCTTGTTAGAGTAAACAAGTTAAAAGTAAAGTTACAACGGTTCTGATTAGATTGGATCAGATATGGTGGTGTTACGCAAAGACCAGACGCAAGATGCCTAGTTGCTACCTGTATAGGTTATGATGAATGCCCAGTCGTATCTGGAACAAATTGTTAAAATGCAATGCAAGGAAGGAGTTATCATATGGTAGTGAAGGAGAGCATCCATGTGGTGAAAGAAAATACAAGTCGTCACTCGTTGTCGTAGGTCCGGTTGTATGAACAGTTTCGAACAAACACCACGTGCAAAAACGATGTTAAGTCATGCATCAAGTCCCTGTGTTACTCCACACCTACGTATTTTTCTCCTCTTGGTCGTGGTGTACAATGTATATGTGTTGTGTGAAACGTCAGTGACTTGATACATTATCATTCAGGGTTCACTCAGTAAACATCTATGGGAAAAGCCCGTTTCTATCTACTGCAACTGTATATACCTAACCTTTCCTTTTTGGTTTTCGTCCCCCTTTTTTCTTCATTATGAGATCACTTTCACCTGGAGCTAAAGGTGGTTCCCCGGGGCAGGGTATTTTACAGAAAAAACGCTTTTCTGTTATCATGCACCAGTCCCCTGTTCGTTTGCCCAGTTTTAACCCTAGCCCACATGTGCCTTCTTTTGGCATACATTCTGATCCTTCAAATGTCCATTCTCCGCAATCCTGTGATTTTTTCATCACCTTTTTCTGTTTCTTATCTGAAAGCAAGATACGTGCTGGACGTTTAAAGCCAAAATATATAATCGGTAAGCTCTAAACGAACCAAAATGCCATCTAGCTAGTTAGAAGTATTTAACAACGAATTAATTTGTCTTGATAACCTGTTCTCAGCTTTTAATTAGTTTAAAGAGAGTGTATATACCAGAAAGAGGGGAGAAACTGTCCGGAATATGATAGTGCTGGTCCAAAGCATCAGAAGATCTAAACATTGCTATACACCATCAAATTAGTCGATGTGCTGAAGTACCTATGACTAGTATAATTATATACCATTATTAATTGCTGAAATAAAAATGATAAAATATCAATATAATCTGGCTTATTATGTTACGTTACCTCTTCGCCTGCCACCGCCTACTCCTGGTTGTGGTTGCGTATCTTGTGCAATCACTGCGACTGCCACACAAGCCAACACTGTCAAGGTATATGCCCACTGCATCTTCTTATAATATCATATCTAAAAGATGGAGATGAACAATTCTTTATTTATTTCATTAATAAAAACATTCAAAATCATTTACATCTACGTACGAGGGGTGATCAGGAATTTCTGGACCGTTGGCTCTATTTTTGCCATTTTTTATCCTTTCTAAGTGATCTTTTCACACAATATAAATCAAATATATAGGATCACACCATGAAAATTTCACTGTTCTATGAAATCATTATCCTTCTATTTTTGTTACCATGGTAACCGGTGACACGACAAGGTGGATCTCAGAAAAAATACCAAATCTGAAAAATCAACAGTAGTTTAATATGCCATTTTTTGACACTGTATTCATTGCTGAGTATGTTACAAACATACTGACATGAAATAGGTTGTATTATATCATTAAGTATATTCATTAATGTTCATTGTAACTGTCATTATTCTTCCATCAATTCTAATCCTCCAAAGTAGTTACCAGCATTTTGTAAGCATTTGTTATGCCTTTTCTACCATTCCTGAAAGACGTGATATAGACCGTCTTTGCTTACAAAGTGTGATTGTTTCCATCGGCTGTGGCCGTGTGCAGGCACCATATTCCCCAGACTTAGCTGGCTGTGATTTTTATCTTTTCCCAACAGTGAAGACCAAATTATGAGGTATTCACTTTGAGGACAGAAATGAGATCATTCAGGAATTCACACACCAATGTTACAAAGTAGGCAAAGACAGTCTGTATCACGTCTTTCAGGACTGGCTGAAAAGGCATAACAAATACTTACAAAGTACTGGTAACTACTTTGAAGGATAAGAATTGATGGGAGAATAATGACAGTTACTAATAGATGAACATTAATGAATATATTTAATGAAATAATACAACCTATATAGTATGTCACATATTCAGCAATGAATACAGTGTCCAAACATCATATAAAATTACTGTTGTTTTTCAAATTTGGTATTTTTTCTGAGCTCCACCTTGCCGCGTCACCAGTTACCATGGGAACAAAAATAATTGGATAATGATGTCATAGAACAATGAAATTTTCATGATGTGATCCTATATATTTGGGTTATATTATGTGAAAAATCAGTAAGAAAGGATAAAAAATGGCAAAAATAGAGTCATCGGTCCAGAAATTCCTGATCACCCCTCGTATATTGTATTTATCTTTTTAGTACTATTATGATTACACATTTTAGAAATTTTATCAACAATATATTGAAGACGCACCCATCTGTTATGAACCGGGACTCATTTGGATGACAGTTCACCAATCTCTTCAAATGAGTTATTTGTTCACACCTGACCCCTTTGCATATTTCAATCCAATGTAACTTTTTTCTTCATGAATATCTTCTTTCCGTACAATATTTAAATTCTAATATTAAAGGTTCGAAATATTTTCAATGAAATTTATTTTGCACGATTTCTGAGGGAAGTCTTATATGTTATAGTACCATGCAATATTAAGTATTAAGCCCAATTAGTTCCTCCCCTTATTTTGAAGGTTTGGACATCAAAGTATAATGCCTTCATTTGCGTGGTTCTTCAAAATCAAAACCAGAATTACAAAGGCTGAAAAACGTCCCACATCCGGGCCAAATACTGAAAACTAGACGATTATGGAGAATCCGAATGGTGTTTAACTGGTCGTTTTTGCCGACAAACCTCCCTCGAGAAAACTGGCGTGACATTATGATAGTTGTTTTTGAATAATGGGGAGGTTGGAGTTTCTTTTCCCTACTGTGTTTTGTAATATTCCGCTGTCTTTTTCCCTTGCACATGCGCTTGTTTACATATTGCCTGGTGTTTTTTGGATGTTCTCATAGGGATAAAGTCAACATATACTTTCAACATAATTTACAAAAGATGTGTTTTTATACTGTTATTAGTAAACATATTGCCGGCTGTTCAACATACATTTGTAAAATTTGAGTCGTGTGTGATAAGTAGGAAATCGATCGAATTATGAAAGGCATTATCTTGAACAAAATATGTTTAGGGAATATGTGATTGATATGGACTTACACAGAGGCCCAGGAACGAAAATAATTAACAAGTTTGGCCAATTGGAGTCTGGCTGCCCCTTTTGAACATTTTTCCAAAGAGACAATCGGGTTCCGATTTGACAAACTTTGATTTTGCAAAGTTATACATGTTCCTGGGCCTATGGACTTTCAGATTGTGTAACATCTTTAAGAGATGCAGATTTACTTTTTATCCATTTATAACTATTGCTTAAAATGCAACAATGACGAGACGCTAAAAGCCCAGTACAGTAGAACTTATTTATCCAAACACCTTCCAATCCGAAAAAATGGTCCCCCGGCCATTGACTCCCATGTTAAAAAACCTTAAAATCTGAACACCTCCTAACTCGAATAGTAAACGCTCATATTTGAAAGTTAATCAGTCTAATCCGAACACTACTCACAAAGTATCACACATTTCTTGCAAAACTGCTCAAATATTTTCAACTTAGGCCTCACACTATCAAAACTTTTGAAAGAAATTATCAAATTGTCTCAATCATAATGGGTTTTTCTAGCAGACTAAATTCATTTGAATCGGAATTTGAAATGGCATAAAGCTATGTGGTCAATAAAAATATCAATATTCATTAAGAATGCATTTATGTATTTCTTCAAAATCCAGAATCTTGAGAAAGCAAAACCTCGAAATCCGAAAAAACCTGCTAATATAATCCAAACGCTTTTAGCCGGTCCCGATGGCGTGCGGACTAGACAGGACTGTAGTTCTAACTTTGCATAATCAAAAGGACCAATAAAAAGTATATTTTAATCGATTGTAATGAATTTAGACATTTCTGAAATTGGACATTTCTATAATATCTTTTATTATTCATAAAATGATATCTCAAATTCCCTTTTCAGAATTGTTTAAATCAGGATTATAAGGGAAACATTCAGAACGCATTCTTGTCTTTTGCTGCCATAGAAATTAAAGTTGTACAATTTTGTATGAAACAATATACTTGATCTTGAAATGCTACAATAAAGAGTACTTGTACAACACTATTTTCAAATCAAAATACTACTTCGGTATACTGTAAGTGCTATACCCAATGTAAATACTCAACAAATCGTTATATTTCTCTCTTCAAAATGATTTATAACACCCACGTGCACCTTGGTCTATACAAAAACTTCATTTTATAACAGAACATTCCATTCAGCCAATGTAGGCCTACATTTCGAGCGGAAAACCAACAAAAACTAGAAAGAGAGGGATGATAAGAGAGTCTCTGATGCTAAAGATAAGCTAATCATAACCACACTTTCTCTCTTGCTTAAGAAGACTACGATGTTCGAGCTGTTCGACGCCTCAATCATCACCAACCTCTGTTTTAAGTGGATTTTTATTTTAGCAATACTAAGTATTTTTGTTTCAAAATTGTTGATGATGAGTATATGAAGTCCCAATTTGGCTAATATGTGTATTAACAAAGACCAGCAATATTCAACCTCCTATAATTGCTGTAAAATGGTATATAATTGCTTAGTCTTGCTTAAAAGTCCCTGTACTCCCCCCCTTTATCCTTCCCTATATTGCCAGGTAAAGAGAGTGAAGGTGACGGGGGGGGGAGGTGGATACAGTCTTTGAGCAAGACTAATAATTGCTATATATTCCTGTAATTGCTGCCAATTATAAGAATATAGGACTTACTGGTTTGAATAATGACTAATGAATACATTACATTGTTTAACTTCAATTATGTTATTCCGTCATCTATCATAGCAGAGTACGCTTGATTAATAGTTATACAAACGTGGATGTATTTTGATACACCCCCTCCTTGAGTATGGCAACCAGAATCCCACTTTGGGTATTTTTTCGAGGCTTGTTTATATTCTATGATTTAAAGAAATTCAACTTTGTCTTTAATTTTTGATATGTTATAATTGAGGGACAAGATGAAGAATCAAACATTAGGGAGGTTGGGTTAGCACTGTTTTGAAGAACGTGTAAAATGTAAAATTATGATCCCCCACTGACCTTTATTTGCAAAATTGAGTACGAAGACGAGAGGAAAAGATTTGTTATAAGGTCTCTGTTTTCACCAAAAGATGGGCAACAATTCCCGGGGCAGTCTCATAAAATTACACGGTTGGGTTCAGATTCGCCCAAAAGGCGTGTAAATTAACCTCTCTATTGACAGTTGCTTATATGTTATACAATAAAAACAGCTTCCGGTTTCCAAACTTATGTTGAGGAGTGTAAAATATCACCTGACATCTTGTCTTCCTACGTTTTGTACGTTTTACCCTAAAATTTAGGCGTTTGATCAATCTTTGGTTATTATTGTAAAAAGCCTTGCATCATCTCTACCCCCCCCCCCCCCTTCCACTTAATATTGTGTATGCCCGATCAGGAACGCCAAGTCAACCGAATGCTTCAAATTACATCTATATGATAACTTAATTGACTTAGTACAACAATTTTAGAATAGTGTCATCATCTCATTTTTAATTACATAAGATAAGTGATCGTGATTCAATGTTCATCTACAAGCACTATCAAGCTCACTTACCTTTATCCAAATATAAACTATTCTAGTGGCAAAGATTCCTTGTACTGTCTTGTCTTCAGACAGGAGCTCTTGAATAATGAGAACCTATCTTAATATGTTACGTTTCACGAAGTAAAGCCCTGCATTAAAGGCATTACACCAGATGATGATGTCAATGTGTAATCAAGAGGACTTTGGACTTGCACTGGGTAATTAATCAGACACGAAATCAAAAGCCATGGAAGTGGTTGATGAATAACCCGACCCATAGGAACAAGTGGGCAGTGCTGGCATTGCAAATATGACAACAATTTGTGTCAACTCTAGGATTTATATCTTCATCCTAGGTCGTGCAAACACCAACATTACAAAGCAAACAATTGCAAACAACCTAATAAACAAAATAGCAAACAAAGTGGTCATGTCAGTGACATTATTAATTTC